TCCATATAAGTATATAGAATTCTTCCCCATTCCTTTTTACAGCACACATTTGGAAGCATCTGTGTGGTCCCTTTAAAAATATTATTAAGGAAGTCATTAAAAGTGAGAACTATAACTCTTGGCAGAATTTAGCTAGCTAATTCTAGCTTATCTACAGCAAACGACAGTTTCAGGATCATTTACCCATTCCCCTCACCTCCTACCTCCACTTCTGGCATGTGCTGAGAGTACAGAAACTGACTTTAATAATTAGCCCAGGCAAATTACACGTAGGCTTTGGGCTGGAATAGCAAAAGTAAAACTTAACAATTGGGAGGAAGCAAATAACTTCTCTTTTTGCTGTCTTGGAATCTGGCAACTGGGCAGAAATAATGACTTTATCAATAGGATGATGCTCATATGAACACAATTAAGTAGGCTGAAATCGTAGACTTCTCCTTACCACATCCCCAAAGAGACATGGAGCAAAATTATTCGAGGCCCAAATATAGAACTGTGAGGCTTAAATTTATACCTAGTCTACCCTATATTGGAGGTTTGCAACTCAAAACTAGACACCAATCTGTAGGACTAAGCCTTCCATTGAAGTTATTAAATAACTTGGCTACACTAAATACACGACATTGGATCACTGCATAAAATCAATGAAGATAACCCTGTTGGGTCAAGCTTACACAGATCAATATGGCATCTGCTCCCAAACCATGTTCACTGCTACAATCCCAACTTGACATCATTGGGTTCCTCAAGTCAAGGAGGTCTGAGTTACAGAGTTCGAGAACTGGATAACCTTAAACATGATCTTTTATTTTGCCCTTTGCTGCAGATGTGCCTTGGTGATGGGTTGCAGGGGGTTACTTGAATCCATTCATTTAAGATCAATTTCAGAGAAAAAGGTAAATTAGACATGTATGTAACTTTTAGTCTTTCTTTCTGCATAAGCTCCTTTAAAAAATTAGAGTTAATAATTTTAGGCACCCAAATGATATGGCTGGTTATTTATGAAATTGTTTTGCAAAGAGTAACTTTTTCCATGCTCTGAAATCAGTGTTACCTTGCACTTCCAAAAGTTTTATAATTTTTAAAAACTTGATAAAAATAAACATATATGCCCACTGTGTTAAACACAGAAAAGTATACAAAGGAAGGAATAATCAGCCATATTCATACCACTCAGCAATAACTATCCACTGTGAAGAGTTGAGCATATTTTCTTCCAGCATTTTTTCTACATATACATATTTTTTCTTACACTATTGAGTGTAGTTTGTAAATCTTTTAATGGTTTTTGACCAAAAACCATCAAGTCTAAGACTTTATAAATAGAAGATAAGGCTGCACCTTCCAAAAGAAAACACCTAATGATTTGGGGATGTCTTTTTGGCTTCTGGGTAATTACAAAAATTTCCTACTCATTCTCATCACTTACATTCTTAAGTTATCTTTTCAAACAACAAAGTTTAAAAAGAGAGGCCGGGTGCAATGGCTCACACCTGTAATCCCAGAACTTTGGGAGGCCGAGGTGGGCAGATCACCTGAGGTCAGGAGTTCAAGACCAACCTGGCCAACATAGTGAAACCCTGTCTCTACTAAAAATACAAAAAACTAGCCAGGTATGGTAGTGCATGCCTGTAATCCCAGGTACTTGTGAGGCTGAGGCAGGAGAATCGCTTGAATCTGGGAGGTGGAGGCTAGAGTGAGCTGAGACAGCACCATTGCACTCCAGCCTAGGTCCAGCGACAAGAGCGAAACTCCATCTCAAAAATAAAATAAAATAAATTAGACAAATAAATAAATAAAAAGACAGAGGGAGAAGGCAACATTTCGCGTTTGGGTCAAGATGGCTAGCAGACTGGCTACCACAGCACCAGACAGGTAGCTGGATGGTATTTGAAAACGGTATGACAATGCTGCAGGATTTGAGAAACTAGAGTCAACGTGAGAAGAGACGATATATGAGGATGAAGATGTAAAGGAAGCCATAAGAGGGCTTTCTAATGGCAGGATGTTTCGCATTAGAACACTGGACCTGACTAAGAGACAGCAGATCTTGCCTTAAGAGCAGCGGACCAAACATGAAGAGAATAAATTCTACCATGAGCCATAACTGAAAGCGCTTACTTGGGAAAGAAAAGAATGAGAAGAATGGTCAGAGAAGTCATCACATATTTGAAGTCTGGATGCAACTGTCCTCCAAGTATTTTTATGAAGATGGTTAAACCTGAAACATATAATTTCAGAATTATTTGGTCTGCCAATGTTTTACTTTAAATAAATGTCTATTGTAATCATTAAAAAAACAAAAAATATAAAGAGGAGCCAAAACTCTCTTTGACATCTGTTTCAGATTTTGACTGTGACAAAAAATAATGAAATGTCTCATTCGTTTCCATGTTGCCATAGTCTTACTGAAATTCATAGGCCTTTAAAATCTAAAAAGGGCTCTTTGCCATAATCAGAGATGACACTTCCAAATCACTCATTTAAAAAATGCACTTTTAGAACACTCAAACAAGGATGATGACCTTTCATTGATTCACTGGAATTTTCTCACCATTGTCCCTAAAGACCAAAGGTGTGCGTTTGCATCAGGCAGCCGGGGCTGTGGCGGTCCTTGTCCAGAGACCAAAGAAAGCAAACTGGACTTGATTGAGATCGATCTAGGACCTCATCAATCCCACATTCTAGACAAAGGTCAGTGTAATTAGATTGCTCTAAGTAAAATGAGCCCGTGAAACCTAGAATAATAGAATGATAAACCATGAGGTGATATTTGTTTTAGGGGGAAAAAAACCTCTTTCCCAGAGAATTCCTTTAAATAACAGGCTCCCTTTTTGTATATTTAGGTTACATTCAAATATATTAAAACACACCTTTCAAGAACTTGCTCCTGAAGATAGTCCTGTCCACATGAACCTCCTGTTTTGCTGGGAAATCTTTTAAATACAGTATTGCTATTTGACACACTTAACGCAATAAATACTTATCAAAGTTTAACTTTAATTATAGGGAATGTAATTTGAGGTTACATCAGAGCTACAAGGTAAATTAGCTTCCTATTTCTCAAAGTCTGCTCAAATTGTGTGGAATTTCAAAAAAGTATTTTAAAAGGATGTAAAATGTGGAAACATTTATTTATTATTTTTTGAGAGGTGGTCTCACTCTGTCACCCAGGCTCCAGTGCCATGGGTGAGGCTGCAACCTTCATCTCCCGGGTTCAAGTGATTCTCCTGCCTCAGCCTCTCGAGTAGCTGGGACTACAGGCGCTCACCACTCACGCCCGGCCTATGGAAACATTTAATATGTTGAAAGTAGTTGGGAAACACCTGAACCCAGGATATTAAGGTCTCAAGCTCACTATTTACAGAAGCTTTACAAAGCTAAATGGTGAGTTAACAGGTTCATTCTAGGTACAAGATACTTTCTTACTTTTAACAATAAATTACTTCATTATGTTTATTAAATGCAAAGAGATGTGTGTGAGAGCGGGTACAAAATAATAAGACCATGATAGGCTACATTCTATGCATGCCCAGTACAAAATGAAAATGCAGAGACCCGTGTTCAAATTCAAGAGTGCGTTAGTCCTTTTAAGTGCGGGCCCTTTCTGACTGCACAGATCGCACGCCTGTGAAGCCAGCCCTGCCCAGAGTCCCTTTTCATTCACCGGGTCCTCCTCTCTCGCGTCACAGTGCTGGGGTGCGGGGATGGATGCTAGCGTTGCTGTCACACTGCCGAGCTTTAGGTCAAACTCTCAGCACCGCGACTAGTTACCCTGAAATCACTAGGGCCCGGTATTACAAAACAGAATACACTTCTTTCTTTCGTCCCCTTTACTTAAAAGAGATGATAGGCTTTACGAGTTATTTTTAACAGCGCCTTTTTACAATGAAAAGAATTCGGGAGTACCGTTTGCAAACTGCAGCAGACAGTTCTCAGCGCCCCAGAAGGCGGCCGGCCCCAGCCTGGGAGCCTGCGGGGACCACTCCCTGCTGCCCTGGAGCATGTCCCCCAGGGACACAGGACACCGTTGCCCCTGGAAACCCTGGGGGACTGGCTCCCTCCTGGCCACCTTTCCTCGTTTCTTTCGCCCCCGCGGAGCGGCACCTCCATACCTCCCGGGCCGCTAGTCCCCCAAAGCAGGCCCCAGCCCCGGCGCAAGCTGCCTCCTCCGCAGTCCCCGCCAGCCGCCAGCCCGGCCACCGCCGGACGGCGCCCTTCTCAGCCCCGCGCCCCGCGCCCCAGCCCTCCTCGCGCGTCCGCGCCCACGTCGCTTGCCCCGGCTGCAAAGTCTTCCAGACGTCCGGGCCCTCCCGGCACAGCGCGGGAACCCCAGCCCCCGGCCCCGCGGGACGCGGGCTACAAGGCCGGGCCAGCGAGCCAGGGAACCCGGGGCCTTGAGGCGGCCCACTGCCCCCGCCCCCACCGGCGCCCCCACGCCCCCAGACCGTCCCCGCCGCGCCCTCAGCGCCGCCACCCCCGGGCCGGCCGACGCTCCACGGCGAGTCCCGCCCAGCGCCCAAGAGGCGCCGGCCCCACGGCCTGAGCGTGCGCAGCGCCCCCCGCGGCCGCGCCGAGCGCAGGCGACGGCACAGGGAAGGAGGCCGCGGCGCGCCCGGCTCGGCCCCCTCCCCAGCCCGCCCCCGGGGCCGCTGGCGGTGTCCGCGCCTCCGCGCCCGCCCCTGATTTCCTCCGGGCGGCGGCGGCGGCGGCGGCGGCGCCTCGTGCGCGAGGTTATTTATTTCCGGGCCCCAGAGCGCTTATAATGGAGCCGCTGTCAGCAGAACCTTCTGCTGCTGCCGCCGCCGCCGCCGCCGCCGCCGTCCCTCCTCTTTTTTTTCCCGGCAGATCTTTGTTGTGTGGGAGGGCAGCAGGGATGGACTTGAGCTTGCGGATCCCCTGCTAGAGCAGCCGCGCTCGGAGAAGGCGTCGCAGCCGCGAGGAGGAGCCGCCGCCGCCGCGCCCGAGGCCCCGCCGCCCGCGGCCTCTGTCGGCCCGCGCCCCGCTCGCCCCGTCGCCCTTTGCCTCCCCGCAGAGTCCCTTCGCGGCAGCAGATGTGTGTGGGGTCAGCCCACGGCGGGGACTATGGTGAAATTCCCGGCGCTCACGCACTACTGGCCCCTGATCCGGTTCTTGGTGCCCCTGGGCATCACCAACATAGCCATCGACTTCGGGGAGCAGGTAAGCCCGGCCCCGTGCCCCGTGCCCCGCGCCCCGCGCCCGCTCGCCCTGCCTTGGCCTTACACGCCCAGACACTGGGGCGGAGGGGAGTCACCTGCTCCGAGTCCCTCTTTATCCTGGAACGTTTGGTCGGGTGTGCAGCTTGTCAAGGGTGACTTTTCTAGCACCCCATTCCCTCTCTCCGTCCCCTCAATTATTCAGCAGAGTTTTCCAGCCCTCTCTGGAAAATGTTAAAGACTGGATGGTGTGAAGCTTCACCTATGTATGGAAGGGTTTTTAGTGCACGGCAGTATTATGTAATTTACAATTATGTAAACCTCAGCTCTGTAATTAAAATGTAGTTTCTAGTAGCTTAAGTACTGGGTTTTTATTTACCCGTGGCTGGCGGTAATGGTGACGGTGGGGAAATTCTGTTTTATAATGCGTCCAAGTTGATTTCCCAGATACTTCTAATTTTTAAACATCTGTTTCGTAGCCCAGGTAAGGATTAGGGGTATCCCGAATGTGTGCTGATAAGCCGGTCTTGACCATTTCTAGTTTGGGATTTCTTTTTTTTTCCTTTTCCTTTTTCTTTCCTTCTTTCTTTCTCTTTTTTTTTTTCAATGGACCACTAAAGAAGGGAGCACGTTTTTGTTTGGTGTCGCCTTCTCGTCCTTGTTTCTTTTCACGTTTTCTCCATGTGGCGTCATTGCAAATCTAGCGCTGCAGGCTCTCCCGCGATGGGGCATTGGCACCCTGCACCTTGCATGTGGGGACCGTTTTGGCAGGGCCGCCAGCGGGATGCAGCTGCGTCCTAAGGCCAGGGAGAGGATTTGGTGATGGGGAGGCAGTGACATGCCACCCTGATGGGCAGGTGTCCCAAGTGGCCAGAGCGTGTGACGAGCGGCACTCCCGTATTGTGGTACTGTCTGTCTTCTTTCCTTTTAAGTCAAGAGACTTAAACGGATATTTATATAGAATATGCGCCTATTTTGATGCAATACTCATTCTAAAAGCCAAACAGCTTTCAGGAGGCAATTACAAACCGGAGATTTGTTTGACTCCTTCGTTTGAGGAATATCTGTTTGGATTTGTCTCTCTGTGCTCAGAACTTTTGAATAATTGCAACTCTATAAGCTCCCTAATATGTAGCCCACATTGTAAGCTACTTTCTACTTTGAATTTTGTTGATGATAGGTGTTCATAGTATGGCATATTCTCTAGAGACCTTTGTTTACAGAGCCAACCAATGTCCTTTGATAAAATCTTGTCTCTTCTGTTGCCACTGTGCCCTGCCAGTGCCTCACAAGGGTACCCCAAGGGCTTCTCCTTCCCTGCTCCACCCTGTACCTGCCCACCTTCCCTTCTTTCTATAGTAACTGGTGACTTTAAACATTTCCTACAATCTGTAGAAAAGCTTCTAGACACGAATTTACTACATGGCCCATTTTAGATGAGTCAAATGCTGTATATTCACTCGAGCCTTTCCTATTTTAAGGCTTACCTTCTTGAAGCTGTCCCAAAGGTTGTCAGAAAGCCCAGGCCGCTCATCTGAACTGGTGTGTGTTTGTGTGCATGTAAGAATCATATAGAGATAACTAGTGGAAATAAGAGTAGTCTGTGTCATCATTAAACCACCTGATGCATACCACAGTATTGCCTCCCTTTTGCCTTGATTTAATGAAAGGCTGACATAACTAGGTTTGATTTTAGTATAAGAAAAATAATCTCCTGAAGTCACAAAAGGGAGGTTAAACATAAGAGACAACTATCTAGATGGTTTATCCTCACGGGTCTAATAATTCTAACTCATCCTTAAAACATTGCTAACCTGATTATCATAGCTGATGTAAGCACAGTATTTAACGGTGTTGTGTTTTTGCAGAGAAGCAAAATGTTATCAACAAGTGTCATTTGAGGTCCTTTTCCCGAAAACACCAGAGTATTTATGAGGTTATAGGCTGCCTGGTGGGCGGAGATATTTTATCACAGAATTAAGGGTGGAGCAATGTGGGGAAGAAATTGATAGGTTTTCCAAACATTGCTTTGCCTTCTGGTGTCAGATGATAATTGTTTTGCAAAATGTTGCAGGGTGAGAGAGAGCGAGACTTGCTTACTCTTTCTCAGCATTAAACTGGAGGGAAAGAATTACAGTGGGAGCTGAAGAGTGGCCTGATATGTGTGGGTGATGAATAGAAGAACATTTTACCCCAACTCTTCTGAAGCACAGTAAAGAGGAGGAGAAATGAACCAGTTTGCAAGAGTAGGTCTATGTTAGCTGAAAATATGCAGTCCTTGAGTTTATATGGAGTTCTAGACAGACACATGTAGGTCCTGCTGCTGAGTGGGCAGGTGTATTACACCTTGCTGGGAGCGAATGGTGGCTTATTTGTCAGCCATTTACAAATCCTAAGATGGAGAGGTAGCACGGGAGAACAAAGGTCAATGCAGCCTCAGGTTCACATGCTTTTGAGATGATTAAGACATGCAAAATTAGGCTGGGCAAGGTGGCTTATGCCTTATCTATGATCGTAGCACTTTGGGAGGGCAATCTTTGGGAGGCTTAAGCTAGAGGATTGCTTAGGCTAAGGTGGGATGATCGCTTTAGCTCAGGAGTTAAAAACCAGCCTGGGCAACATAGTGAAACCTCATCTCTATTAAAAAAAAAAAAAAAAAGAGGTCAGGCACAATAGCTCACACCTGTAATCCCAGCACTTTGGGAGGCAAGGTGGATGGATCAGTTGAGGTCAGGAGTTCGAGACCAGCCTGGCCAACATGATGAAATTCCATCTCTACTAAAAAATACAAACAAACAAACAAAAATTAGCCAGGCATGGTGTTGCATGCCTGTAATCCTAGCTACTTAGGAGGCTGAGGTGGGAGAATTGCGTTGAACCCTAGGAGGCAGAGGTTGTAGTAAGCCAAGACTGTACCACTGCACACTGCAGCCTGGGAGACAGAGGAAGACTCTGTCTTAAAAAAAAAAAAAAAGAAAAAGAAAAGAAATGCAAAATTAGAAAATAAAACCTCTCATGAGCTCTTAAGTTCCTGGCTTGTCAAGAACAAAACAATAGCAAAATTATATTAAATGTTTCTTAGATGAGGTGTTTTATGATGATAAATATCACAGTTCATGGTTTCTTTAAAAACATGTACAGATCTTTTGAAATGGAAATCCAGCTATGTACAAGATTCCACTGAAAGTTAAGTTGCACATATGAGACCATGTAAAGAAATTGCCTGTTAATGACCCCAGAGCCAGAGTGTGTGGAGGGGCTGAGGAAAGAGCCTGTAACAGTCCTTCCAGAAACTTCTGATTTTCTCCATGAAAATTACCTGTTGTATATAGATTTCTTAGCCATTTTATAGCTCAGTCAGGGAGGAAACCAAATATTATGGACTATTTCCTCTAACAAAACTAGCAAAACCTATTATCACGTTTTTTTCAGTTTTGGTAGTGGCAGTAATTTGAGGTGGTGAGGGGGAGAGGTTGAATTTTTATACTAAAAAAAGCTCTATGGAATAAAATGATCTGCCCTGTCTCTATATAGGCACCAGAGAAAATGGGAACACATCTCCTTTTGCAGAAACTGAAATAACATTTGTATTATAGAGCCCTATAGGTATATAAAATACTTTATGATCATTGTGTATCTAGAATTATTTTATCTCAATGTTTACAGATTGAGAATCAAAAGTATTAATCACTTCCATTAATTGAGCACCTAGTATGTGCCTATATCTCAGCATATGATATATATGAGGAAAGAATGAGAGGCCTACGCATGGTAAGGTACTTGTTCAAGATGACACAAGCAGTAAATGGCAGAGCTAAGGTTCAAGCCCATACCCCCCTGGCTCTTACAAATTTAGGAATAAGTTCTGGCTTTTCTGATTCCCAGACTAGGTCTAAATTTAATCTTAACTGTCGTATATTGAATTTTTTTTTTTTTTTTTTTTTTTTTGGAGACTGAGTCTCGCTTGTTGCCCAGGCTAGAGTGCAGTGGTGTGATCTTGGCTCACTGCAGCCACCATTTCCCAGGCTCAAGCGATTCTCCTGCCTCAGTCCCCCGAGTAGCGGAGACTACAGGCGTGCACCACTACCCCCAGCTAATTTTTGTATTTTTTGTAGAGATGGAGTTTCACCACGTTGCCCAGGCTGGTCTTGAACTCCTGAGCTCACGTGATCCGCCTACCTTGGCCTTCCAAAACGTGAGCCACCACGTCCAGCCTGTGTGTTGAATTTTAAAAACTCAACAGAGGTAGGATGATTAAAAGGAGGGCTTCCAGGAAAGGGATATTATGACCAATAAGTTCATTTTAAGAAAAGCTGAATTACCCAGATAATTAAGTCAACACTGTATCTTATGTTAACAAGGTTGGCATAGCTTTCAGTCGGAGTGGGGGTGGGAGAAAGAAACAACTGATACCTCACAATAAAGCTGTTTAGAAGTCACTTGGTCTTTATCATTAGAACAATACAGATTGCTAAGCAAAGGAGCATATTGAGATAGTCTTTAAACAATATATTTCTTTTAAAGTATCTGCAAATGTTCATTTGATCTCACCATGTTCAAAGAATTGTTATTCTGTTTAAATTTGGTTCAAAGTCCCCAATTTCCTTAAAAGCCAAATTCACCAAATGACATAGAACAAATTAGGTAACTTTTTTTTTTTTTTTTTTTTTTTGAGATGGAGTCTCGCTCTGTCGCCCAGGCTGGAGTGCAGTGGCGCGATCTCAGCTCACTGCAAGCTCTGCCTGCCGGGTTCACACCATTCTCCCGCCTCAGCCTCCCGAGTAGCTGGGAGTACAGGCGCCCGCCACCATGCCCGGCTAATTTTTGGTATGTTTTGTAGAGACAAGTTTTCACTGTGTTAGTCAGGATGGTCTCGATCTCCTGACCTTGTGATCCGCCCGCCTCAGCCTCCCAGAATGCTGGGATTACAGCCGTGATGAGTCACTGCGCCTGGCCTGAACTTTTTAAAAAGGTACTCAATATTACTTAAAATGTTAAGGGCAA